AGAGAGAGAGAGAAAGAAAGAGAGATAACGATATGACGCCGGGAGATTATAGTTTTTCTAGGATCGCGTATATTAAATTTCTTTTATCAGTATCTCTGCGACGCGTTTCAGGTGATTCTAACGTGAATGATATTTAAGGTGGCTGTTAGATAATGAAGGATAATCGCTCGACGTTCGATAAAAACGGGGATTCAGCGATTTATACGGCGTTTTAATATCGAAAGTGACTAATGCGTCACGCCTTGTCGGCTTTCCCTAGGATAAAAATAGCCTTTTAAAGCCCGCGGATACGTTTATGTCAGCGCTTGCGTTTTCCAGATTATTAACGCGTCATTAGTGTCGGTGTTACATTGTTCCGGGCGACACACGGGGAACACGCGTTTTAACGATAAAAACGACCGCGAGCTCTAGATTGGCCGTGTGATTGATCGCGAATAAAGTTATTAATGACACGACCGATTGTACGTGTCGAGTATTTTACGTCACCAAAACGCGACGTGTTTAACAAGCGTCCCGTGTTTAATTGCGCTACCGTTCGTATATATATATATATATATATATATATATATAAATTCCAACTTTTTGGGGGGCGAAATCAACGCGGCGGGAGGGATCTCGAATTCTCGCCCATTCTCACCGGGAATCGGAACGCCGATTAAAAATAAAATATCTAGTCATCCGAGCTTAACGCAAGCTGCGTGACTTTTTTGCGTTTTGTTACGGGGAAACGCGGTCGCGTTATTGAAGCGCGCGAATAATCCCCGCGAACTCTATATATTGTCCGCGATATTTAAAAAGTCTGGAGCACAGATATCACCGCGCGCGATTCCGTTTCCGTCACGGAGAGAAACCGTCCCTTTCCCCCCTACCCCTGCACGGAACTCCTCGCGAACTTTCTTCGACCGGACGCCTTTCTTCCGAGATAAAGCCACTGTCGACACGCGGCTGCAAGAAGGCACGGCAAGGCGCTTGTGCATTCCCGCTCTCGATGAGGTACGATTCTCTCGAGGCGGGACGTTGAAATTTACGACGCTTGTTTGGCGCGCGAGCGAGGGGGTGCGAGCGAGTGAAGCTCTCGTCTTCGCCGCGCCTTTCCGAGTAGCGAACGAAAGCACGCGAAGATAGAAAGAGAGACGCGGGGTGAGAGAGAATGCGGGTGAGCTTTCCGCGGACTTTTTTTTTTCTTCGTCGCGGCATATTTCATTTCCCCGAGACTTCCCGTTTTCTTCTCCGCGCGGCGCGTCGGAACTCGGGCGCTTCCTTTCCTTAGTAGATTGTAAATGGCGAACGAACCGCACTGAGTAATGAATCCAGAAGGATCCTTGTTTCGGGTGGCAGACAATCACTCAGCTCCGAAACGCGCGTCGGGAGACAGGAGCGAGGGGGAGAACTTTAGAAATCTCGAAACACGCGGAAACGTCGGGCGTATATCCCGCGGTTGCCCGAGGAGCGATTCGAGGATCTCGGATTCTGCGAATTCGAATTCGTCCGGCGGAGCGTTCGACGAGAGGAGAAAAAGCCCCCACCTGAATCAACAATTTTATCTTCGCAACGTCTATTCGGCTCTTCTCCTCCTTTCCACAACTGTTCAATAGAGAATTGGGACTCTATCGACGGGAATTATTGACATGCACGTTCCGTGTCGTGTATATATACGCGTATATACGTGTGTGTACGCGTGTGTATGTTGTAACGTGTATTTTTTTATGCATCCAGACTATGTCCTCGTTAATGCATACACATAACAACAGTCTATCGGGCATGCGTTTTCTACGATCAGACTCAAAATCGAACGTTCTCTCTGCGAGGCTCGCGACGTGCGAGTGCAATCGAGTGCGAGGCGCGATTTTTCTCCCTTTGGATCTTTTGGTTCAGGGAGTCGGTTAAAGGGGCTGGCCTAGTTTACATTTCGGGATAATCGACGGCGAGAGAGTATCGCAATCGATAATCGCGCGAGACCCATAACGTCCGTCTTCATCACTTAACTGAATACACATCAGATAAAAAAACTTTTCTCTGTGAGAGATAAACTATTTATGGCATAATTATAATCTCGAGCGCGTTACTCGACGTTCGTGCTTCGTGTTGTTAACAAAAATGTCAGATTATTAAAAATAAAACGGCCATGATGTTCACTCCAAATAGGATGTCGATAAACAGTTTTTCTGATGTACTTTTTCTGTTTTTTATTACCCACAAATCGATGACGTGCGATCGATATCTCTGTGACGTAAATTTTATCGAATACACACATTTATTTGCTCATTATTTAATTTTCGAAATTAAATACATTAAGTATAATTAAACCATGGGATTAAGATGCCATCAAAACAATTGCAATTATCCAAAGATTAAAATTTAAAACTATTTTTTTTAGTCTCTAATCATAAATTTTGCTTAATAACGCCCAACGAAATAACTATTAACTTTTAGATTTATTTTTTGTGATTCTCGAAAAGCAATCTTTTACAGCGTTCTGTCTAATAAACGATAACATAAATGTATTTTGCCCCAATTAGAGATCGTTGAGAAACGCCCATCAAAACAGCATTGCGCCGTCACTCTCGGGCCCGCGTCCTCGTTACTCTCTCGTAATTTTACTCACGTTCTAAAACTCGTACACGAGTGACCCGCGCGCGAACATTAACCCGAGTTATTAGTCCACCAAGCTGCACGTAAAAAGGTCACGATTGAACATTGCTCGCGCGTAATTTCAACTTGCCGCATTGCGAAGTCGGCCAAATTCGATTCTTGGCTCATCGACAAAATTCAAGATTTATTTTTGGAAAAAACGTACCCTCGGAAAAATCCACTAATAGTAAAATATCTATTATGATCAATATATTATTTATAAACTGAAATTTTATATTTCTATTCCACTTATCGAATTTTTGAGGTTTGGTTATGGCAAAGTGATAAATCTTTTTATACAATTTTTTTGTCTTTTTATACAATTTGATTCACTCATCAGATTGGCGCGCCTAAGAAAACAAATTCTGAAAATTTGTAAGAACCACGTTTACATCAGAAGATTTGATAATTCAAAATTGTGCAGAACTTACAGTGACTTAAAAAGAAAGTATTCTTTTTCAATATTTAATTTATCTCACCCTTTTAGATTATTTTAGATTTTTTATTTTAAACAAATCTTTATTTCTGTAGATTCCAATATCGATCGCAAATCTCTGAAAAATTTAGCAACTAAATATTCATACGCTGATCTAAATATCCGCCTGAGATCTCAACGTTTCCGCTAAAAATCTCCGCTTGTCGAGTAAATTCTCCTGGAGAGGCTTCTGAGAGCCTCATTAGAATGCACAGAAGCCGAGGGTTCAACGGCCCGATTTTCTGAATCGTTAATCGGCCGGCGCAGGCTATTTTGCGCTATAAAAAAAAAAAGAACGAAGGGGGCGAAAGAAGGAAGGGGCCCGCTTTGATTTGCATCGTAAATAGCGGCAGGTAAATAGTCCCGGGGAAAAGGGCCTCAAAAATCGCGCTGGGCGGCATATAGCGGTGTCGTGCAAAAAAAAGGAGGGCAAAAAATACATGGTTTTTTTTACCGGGCGCGTCAAGCGTGAGGGAGAGAGCGCGGTGTATATATATATATATATATGTGGGTCGAGGGAGAGGCGGACGGGAGGGCGAGGGGGGAGGGGTAGAAAGGGTGCTGAAAAAGAGAGGCAATAGAACGCATAAAAAACACCGACTACAAAATGCAAAGTCAGCGGGCGCTCTACGCTCGCGAGAGTGCGCGTGAGTGCGGGCCGTGCGGGCGCGCGCGCGTGTACACGGGTATGCGCGCGTTTTGTGCGTTTCCTTCTCTTCCTTTTTTTTCTCCTTTCATCCCTCTCTTCTCTTCTGTTCTGCGTTCCGCGTTCCGCGTCCTTTGCGAACGCATACGCGCGTACGTGCACATACACACACTGATGCACGCGCGCCCGCCTCCCTCGTTCTTCGCCTCGCTCGTGCTGCTCTACTTGCGCGTGTACGGTGTACGACGGACGCGGAAAAGGCGCGCATTAAGCTCGCACGGTGATTCGCAGTTTGCATATAGCTTGGCGACGTCGTGTAATGCGCGCCGGTGTCCGCATTTATGGGCGAGCGTCGCTCGCGAATACGCGCGGATCGATGGTACGTGAAGGTAGGTACTCCTCCTTTTTCCGCGAGATACGCGCGCGGCAAAAAAAAGGTTCAGTGTCATCTTCCTCTCTCCGAGGGATGAGTATGAGCTTTTCGTATGAGCCGCGATAAGGTAGTGTACGAAGATCCGGGAGGAGAGAACGTTCTCCAACCCTCCCTTGCGGGTCAATACCTCCTTCGTTTTACATCGATCCGCGAAACGTTTCGCGCAAATAAGATCAGACATCGGCACGCAGTGAAGATAACGACGATGAGCGAAAAGATATGGCGGCGCACGAGAAGAGGCATATGAAGAAACGAAACTATCAAAAAGACATTGAAATGTTCTTGAAAACAAAGAAAGAGAGAGAAATAAACAAATATCGAAAGAGACAGACAACGAAAAGGGTGATGGAAGAAAAGCGAAAAATAGAAATGTATTGCGAAAAAACGAAGAGATCGAAAAATGTATAAGACGATAAGCTGTGTGTGAGCGTGTGGATGATGTATGTAATGTGTACGTACATGTATGCATCACCACAAAGTAACAAATGTAAAAAGACTTGAAATACATATAATTTGTATTTTTCTATTTTACCTTTGCCCACGTATTCATTCATCTTTCAATCAACATACAGAATACTTTCTTTTTGAAATGCCAATGCGTTCTCTTCGTGCGAGACGGCAAGGAGATTTTTGCTGAAAGAGATCTTTGCCACACAGCCCACACAGATACATAAAGATTTGATCAAAGACATTCTGTACAATTATGGTGACACATTGATGTAACGGTGATCCGAATGAATCAGAGCGGTAGAAAGAAAAAGAGATAAAGGCGCGGAAATAGAGAAAGTCTAGAGAAAAAGGCGGTGGCGAATTACCTTGAAGGACTGCACAGAGAAACCGGAAACCAGGGTTGGTCCATAACATAAGAAGCGAACAGAAAACAGAAAAAAGATAAACTTGTAATTAGGTCGTTCGCTGTAAGAGACATTGTAAGCATGTAATTTCCTGCCGAGAGGGTGAGCTGGTTCGTGAGAGAGAGCTGGAGCAAGGGGGGGGGGGGGCGAGAGTGAGAATAGAGTCTTTATCGTGTCTTTCTGTTGATCGATGGATCCAACGTGTGCTACCGGGTGCTGGAAGAATTTATGCTGCAGGATGACACGAATGTCGCATAATGCATTAAAGTATTAAACCATGCTCGAGAAAGAATACGAATATTTCGCGTTCTACATTCCAGCTCGGACAGATTCAGCGACAATCCACATTCAAGAGCGGCCGCGATATTGACGTTTTAATGAAATTATGTAACCCTTCGTAATCATCCTGCGAGTTAGAAGGATATGTAAGTCGTTCTATATACAAAAGTATATGAGGCCTTGCAATCGAGAGAAACGTTCGGCGGAAGAGCGCGCTTAATCTTTCAACACGCTGATTCGATTTCGATCAATTCGATTCGGAAACGTCCGAAGTGAAATCCAATAGGGAAAATTTCGAGACGGACGTATCTAAGGTGGTTTTATCGCTCAACGCCAACTCGATAGTGTGACGTTGTCACATAAACGTCACACAATCGCATATATATAGTCTATGCGAATTATAATAAATAATATAGTCTATGTTTTTACTGAATTACTGGTCACATGGAGGGACTAACTTTTGACTGGCTCTTGCGCGATAAAACCACCTTAAACTCGAACCGATAATTTATTCCGAGTCTCTTCAATAATCGCGACGTAACACGCGACCGTCGGAATTGGACAACGTTTGGTCGATCGCCCTTTGGACAAATGAGTTTTATTAATAGCACACACACACTCTCTGTAGCGTCGAGTGATGCGCCGATGTTAACTTATTATTGAACACGGACTAGTAGCCAATTAACCGGCAACGTGCAAATTTCCCCATGCATATACGACGTGCAAATATTTACCACACAATTTCTCTCGGTTACACGGCCGCAAGTACCGGCGTAATTTTGGGGTAAACGCGCCGCGCGCGACCAGGTCGTCAGACATTGTCGTTACCGTATTGCTCGGCAACGATTATGTCATACGATTTAGTCCGAAGCGCGGACACGATAAACTCGTCGCTAATTAGCCGATTGTCCGGGCTTAATTACACCGGTACGATACACCGTCGCATATTTCCACAGTCTGCGCGAGAGATTCCTGCGATTTCAGCCGCCGGCTCGACAAAAGCGCAACGCAATAAACGGGAAACAGAAGAAGAAAAAATGGGCCAAATTCCTGTGTGACGACACAGGAATTTCACGTCCCGTAAAACTGTATATCAATTAAATCGATCCCGGCGGTGAGATCGCGAGAAGATCCGGACGCAATCGCGTGAATCTGTGGAATGCGAGATATGAGTATATAGGGAGAGCAGTACCGATGGCAGTATATACTGTAAAGGTGCGATCTCTGCAGATGTTTGAGTACCAATCGTAAGGCATATCTTCAGATGTTTTACGGCTCTCATAAAATCATATCGCGCGCAGGTTTGCGCAGTCTGCTGCAGTGATAATAAAATACAAATGAGGTTTATATATCGAGTACGAAAAGGCGAACGGGGCTGGTTTTGCTTCATCGCCGACGGAATGAGCGTCGTGTGCATACGCGATTGCTCACAAACGACAAGTGATTCCTGTTGTGAAAAATTTTCGAAAAATTCTAAATCCTTATTATATTTAAACGCTTTTTTCTAATAGAACATTTTATGATTATTAATGCGGCCGATGAATATGCGAAATGCGTTTCGAGAGAACGAGAATCGGGCAGCCCATCAGCTGACGTCGACGGCGCGGAATTACATGTCGATTTCTAATTTCTGCCGAAGACAGAATTCACGCCGGCCGTCACGCCGCGCTGCCGCTGCGCCGTACCAGCACACGCGAAATTTCCGCTCGAATGAGAGAGAGAGAACGGCTATCTATTTTGGTCGCGACGAACCGATAATTAATTACGACACGAGGACCCGGAAAACGCGAAAATGTCAACTCGGGTCGGTCGGTCGGTCGGCTGGCGCGCCCGCGATTGTCATAGCCCGCGCGCATAGTAGACACGTTCTCTTGGCGGCGCCGCATCTCGCGTGTCAGATGCACCGTGCGCTGCATATAATATGCGCGCACCGGGATATGTCCCGGTTTAACTTTTCAAGGGAATTACGCGTGAAACGCGCCACGGCGACGTGGTGCGTTATCCCATTTGAAATGCGAGAAGGTTCCGGGATGCGTCTCGCTACTCGGTGATTCTTCTCTGTACGGTGTGTTTAAATCCACAGACCTGGTAATGCAGGACTGAGGTAAGGTTTCGAGGACTCGAGTTTCGAACACGCCCGAGACCGGCGAATTTCTTATTATTCCTCGAGAAAAAAAATTATGCCGACCTTCGACAAGGATTTTCGTCACTTGCAATTAGGTAATGACTTTCAAAGTGATTTTTGTCGAATAAAATTTTCGATTTCTGTGTGCGCGCGTTATCACACGCGACGTGTCTCATTTCCATTCGGAAACGTTATTTTCTATGCCAATGAGCGGTCAATTAGCGGACAATTCGCAAATGTCGATTTTCGCTTCTAGCATCGATCGCCCAGCATTTCTCTCGCGTTTGGCTTTTAGCCTCTCCCGTCCCCGTCCTCCCCTGTTGTGAAATGGCGCGGACATAGGCACGTGCGCGATACATTCCGACCGACGTAATTCGATTTCCGAGCGCGGTCGGATTAAACAATAATACGTTAAAGGATCGCTTGTACCGAGGGCGCGCGTTGTATCGAGCACGCGAGGATTTTTACGTTATTTTTTTTTTTATTTGCCGATCTCTCATCGGAGACGGTCACGTTGAAAGTAGAGAATCGATGGCCCTTGTTGACCGCGTCAAAATACCATTCCGAAATTTCGGACAAATATTTTGCCATTTTTTCCGGGAGGTGGGGGGAGAGGTAAAAAAAACCGTGAAACATTCTCGACACGCTGCACGTTGAAATCAATATTTTCTTCGTACTCGCGATATAACATGATTTTTGTTCACTTTGTGTCAACAGATTTTTTGTTACATGTTTGCGCGCAGTAACGGTTATCTAAAAAGTTAGCTGTAACGTGATAAAACCTCCACCGCGGTGTCGATTATTCGATTCTTTTTTTCGGCGCTATACGATGCGCCGTCGCGATTAGCTGGTGAAAACACGTAATCGTGAATTTCGGGGGCGATCTCTCGAGTGCGTCGAATGTGTACAGATGTAGCACGTGGGGAGCGGGTATATACGAGTAGCGAATGCTTAAAAAAATACGGCGGGCACTTAATCGTACGTGCGATGGCACGCGCATTTTAATCTGCATGCCGATATACGAGGCCGAATCGAGTAATAACTGCGCGACTGGCGAGGATCGTTTATGCTCACACCTGACTGTCATCAAACCCGCGCGATCAATTTTCCATTACTTTCCCTCTCGTCAATAAACGCTTTGTGGTCCATTTCGACGATCGCCGCTTCATTCGCGAAAATCTCTCGCGCCGCGCGGCGCGAGATGTATTGCCCGGATTTTTTTTTTATTACGCTCGCACTCACACGCACGCGCGCGCGAGCACAGGAAGCATTTTATGAGCGTATTAATTTCTTTTTATCGCATTGACGAAATATGCGACCTATTGCGTGCTCTTGCGCGCATTGACGTCCGCGCGGGCATTTATTATGCCTCAATTCCACGGGGAATCGTAATTTTACTCGCGAGAACAGAGAATAAACGCTCGCAAATTTTATTATGGCTAATTATCTGCCTCTCGCGGTGAATTAGAAAAAGTCATTCCGCGACTTTACAAAAACCGCGCGCGCATGAGAAAACCTCGAATAATTTCGCGTTGGGTTTTTACGATCTTAAACAGTGGACGTCGCAAATAAAACTAGTTCCCGTTTTACCGTATCATTATTTTAATGTCTCGTGTTCAATGTTACGCGCGTTTATTTGCCACTCTTATTACCGCGCACGAAGCGCAAACATTCGCAATTTTCTTTTGTAGAAAATTATGTATACACGCCTCTCCGCGCCACACCGCGCGCCCGCGCGCGGAGATTAGGGAAATAATCCTCTGCGATTCAAAAGAGCCGTTCCGTCGCGCGGAATAATTTCACGTTATCACGCGTGCGTTACTCGATCTCAGATGGAGGATATGAAATTGCACGGAGGATTATACCGAGAGAGCGAGTACACGTCCGTTCAGCGAATTTTCTGCGCGATCGTGCTGAGACTGCGAGTCCCCGGGTGAATTTATACGTGGGTGAGTGACCCCCTCGAAGCGGTCGCGCGCGCGGCGCGCTTGCGATTCCGCGTATATACGTTTCGTGTCTCCCGCGGTGTGTCGATTCTTTATTATTCACGGGAACGGAGAAACTCCGCGACTTCCTTGGCAAATTTTGCGGACGGGAAATCCGACAGCTGCGCGACCTACTTTCGCGGCGGAGTCATCGACAATATGACGAGCCGGCGGGCGGTGCGACGCGGCGTGGCGCAACGCGGCGCGTTGGCGGGCCGCGAGGGCGTCGCCGGAATGAGACACTTAACGGAATGCGATGCCGGGCATAACGAATCGATAATCGCCCCCACCGCCGGGCTATACAGCACCGCGACGCGGACCTCTCGCGATTGTCACGACGGAATATTTCCGCGAACGCGGAATGCGGGCGATCGGATGTTCATCGCGCAGGAACATTGATTATTCTCCGGCGATTGTCGAGGATCCGGGGAAATTCACGAGTTTGGGAACGTGACCGTTCGCGGAGTTCTCTCGCGATATTCTCCGAATTCTATTAGATATATGAAAAAATCAGCGGTTTTTCAGTTAGGATTGCATTTTTCCCCCTTCGAATTTTCACAGTTCGAGCATTTCAGGTCGAG